TTTTTTTTTCCACAAAACGTTTTTTTGCCCAACCTGTGCCAATACAGTCTTTTCTTAGACTACTGTTTTGTGGGGTTTTCTTTTACCAATTTTAGTACATTTTAAAATTTTAATTTCATAGGTTTCGAGTCCAAGTTACTGCAAGAGGCCCAAGTCATGTCAAGATTTACTGTGGAAAACGAGCTAGTCTTTTATTTTTGTCTTCTGGGGAAGTTTATGGTAGTGAGATAAACATCCAAAATAGTTAAGGTTGTTTATCCTGCATCACTTAGAAGACATTCTTGACATCATTTGTATACAACTGAGCAGGGGAGGTGCTCAATCAGCACTGACAGAAATTAAACCCAGATCACCCAGCCTCAGGGCATACAGACCTTACTTCAGTGTGATAAAATCTGCTTCTGTTGGGATAAAACCTGAACTGCTCATATAGCTTCTCTTGTCACAAGCCAAATTTTAGTGCATAAAGGCTCCTCCTCCAGTTGTATTCCTTCCAGGGACACAGTCATTATTTCAGGACACTTTACCTCACCCTGACATATCTCTGTAGTATCTTGGGGCTTGCAAGAGGGGATGAATATTGCAAAAGGATCTGGTGCCATGCTTGTCCAGTGTAATGACTTTACTATTGGCCCCAAATCTGCAAGTCTTGGAGAGCAGGGATCCCGGAAGCTACCAGCAGGTAACTCAAGGCAACATAGAATCTTCAGAAATTTTTTCTGTTCTTTTTTGACTGTACACTGTTTAGTGATGCCTGCCTGAAAGTCGACCCTGACAGAAGCAGGAGGGAGACATGCTAAACGTGAAGAGATTGGAAAGGCATTTTCCTGAAACAACTGGAAGTGCCAGACTTGCTGTTGACTAGGGGAGAAGCTAAGAAGGGCTGCGTTGTTCAGTGGTGCTGAAATCCACTTTGTCCTTTACCTATGTAGCAAGCTCCTAGGTTTTGTAGTATATATGCTGCTCTTTGCATGAGTATTGATTATAAAGATGTTTGTTCCACGTATAAAAAGCTTGATGTGCCCTTTAAAAGCTGCTCTAAACCCATTCTGAAGGAAAAAAGCTTGTGAATGTGCCTTTTCTTTCCTCTGATTCTTATCTCATGCACATATAAGAGTGAGCCACTCATTGCAGTGGAAATACCTGTGATTTGCAGAGCAGGATGAGTTCTTTGCTGGTAGATATGCTAGTAACAAACGGGCTGAGGAACTTACTAACTCTCATACTTGAGTCAAGGAAAGCTTGAGCATGACTCACTTAGGAATGCTTTGTACTCCCCTAATTGCATAATTACCTTAGAGAGCTTACTGGCCATTTGGCACAGAGGTCATGCCTGTTTCCTCTGAGCACAGGAATAACTCCTCCTAGCTTCTCCTAGCAGGATAAAAAGGAGATGTGAGGAAGACATATGGCTGTGGCCCCACTTTTCCTCTATATGATCCAGGAGCAGTACTTGTGCACAACTACAAAGTCCTTCGTTCTCTGAAGTGAGGATGGGAAAGTTGACCATTACGTAACATCAATCAGCACTTTCACCTTTGCACTGGGACGGTATCTGTATTGAAAGGGATAGTGTGATATTCTGGGGTGTTTGGTACTGATACTGATACTGACATCTGAGTTCTAATAAATGGGATTAAAAAAAAGTGAGGGGGATGCCACAAGCACAGGAATCTTCCCCACTATACTCATATGCCATAGAGTTAGTCTGACTGCCAAGCCAAGAAAACAGAGATCTCCCCAACACCTTGCTCTCAAAAGCAATAAGTAAGAAAAGATATGAATAATATAAATGCTATCAACAATTGCAATCATGCAAAGCAGATGACAAGAGAAGTGAAGGGACCTGAATGTCCCATGAGAGAAACGGAAAATGAACTTGCTAGTTGCATTAATGGAATTAAAGAAAGATATGACTGGAGAATTCTCCTGGACCTCTAGCAAACTCAACAGTGCAGTTTTCAGGGCTCACCCCACGTGTAGAACTGGTAAAGTAGGTCGGTCTCCAAGATGGAACAAACGGAGAAAGATAGAAATGAATGATAGAGATAGCTGAGGAGGAGATATTTAACTATAGTTGTCTTTAGCCCCCCTGATGCTTTCTTGTTCTGGAGAATGACTGGAATTTGCGGTCCCTCTTCTTAACCTTTTTATTAATGTTATCCAACAGTAAATTTGGAAGCTAGAATTCTCCTTTGCAGATTGGTGATGGCATCACTATGTAGTGAAATTTTCATCCCGCTCTCCCCTTCATTACACCTATGAATTTACCATCCTTCATTGCACACTGACGCATCTTCCATTCAAAGCAGCTAAGGCACATCTTCTCCTGTTCCCCTTACAGCCCAGCAGCCAATATCGCCTAACACACTCTATATATACTCCTAACACACCCCTAACACACGGTACATACACTCTCCTCCCACTGGGCTTATGAATGAAAATACTTGTGGCTGCTATACTTCTTGCTGATGCTAATGCTGTTTTAGACGTGCGCACAGGATGCCTGCCTGATTGGCCCATCCAAGTGGTCTGATGCATCTAAGTTTATTAGTGTAAACTTTGGTGTCCATGGGCTTCTCAGCTGTGTACTTGGATTGGCAAGAGTGTTTAAGGTTACTCATTTGTTTAGAGGTTCATGATGGCTACTTAAATCTTTCCTTCTTTTTTATCAGCATCTTTTCAAATAGTGGGAAACAGAGCAGTTTAATGCCGACTGAGGCTGCATTAGCTTCCCCTTTCTGTGAGAAACCTCTGCTTTAGAAGGTTCCCAAAGTGAAAGTGTTTGCAAGAGAAAACAACTGGGAGACAGTCACATCCAAGCCTGGCTCTGGTGAGTGGAGCTGTTCTTCTGATATAAAGGGAGCAAGAGAAATGTTTTTGGGAAAGGAGGGAAAATGAAAGATCTTGACACCTAAGCTGGGAGAGAACTGGTCAGAAGTTTGTCAAATCAAAGGCTAATGTCCAAGACTGATTCTGTTCTCACAGATATATGTCTGAAGTATGGACTTAATTAGAGGTATGTCTAATTAAACCCAACTGAATTCAGAGAAAAGTCAGGCTCTGGGTCCCAACTGCTTTTGTTATCAAACAAAAAATAGGCAACACCTCTGTTCTTTGCATGCTTTTTTGAATCATTCTCCCAGAGACTCAAGGAGTTAGCATGCCGTAGTGTGGGTGGCTGCCCTAGGGATCAAGAAACACCAGACAGAGTCTATAGTAAAGCTTCTTGCATTAGGATGGCGGCAGAGGAAACTATACAGAAAATGCAGTCCAGGAAAGAGTTCTTAGAAGATGAAGTAGGGATTAAGCCAGAGCCTATTTTACCATTTGCTAAAACGCTCAGTGCATTTGCCTTCATGGATTCTGCATTCCAGAGGACTGCATGCTGGGTTAATAAAATCCCTCTCTTGAACAGGCATTGGAAATTCAAACGGTCACTGACTGCCCATATGGTAGAATTTGGCTATTGCTATTAGACAGCTGCAGGAAGTTGAGGACAAGAAAGGGGCGACAGCACCAAAATCTTATGGACACGTAGACATAGAGAGAGACACATGGCTTTGCCTCATGGCAGGAGCTTCCAAAATATGTTGCTCATCAAAATGCCAGGATCCTCTTTTCTTTTTTTCTTTCAGGAACTGCAATTTGCACTTCTGCTTTTCTTAGGTGATGCGTATGTGATTTAAACCCTCATACACCCTGAGCTTAAGTTTCAAGAGCATTTTAAAACAATTAGCACACCTACAAGAAAAATAGCAAAACATCACATTTCTGTTGCTTACGGGCTCAAAGGGGGATTGAGTTTAGCATTCTTCCTTGGGGAAGAAATTGCATGTTCCCCGGTAACCCAATGCCAAACCACTGCTCTCTGTTTTGAGTAACAAATGCCATTCTTACTGCGTCTAAAAGCCCAGACTGTGTTTCTTTTCTTAACATGAAATTGTGTATTTTGGTACTGCTCTCAAACAACAGTTTAACAGAACAAAGAGTTATCTTTATGAGACAGCCAGGGAAATACACAAAGAACAGGAAGATGCAGCTAACCTAAATAATGACATTGAAAACAAAATAGCTATCGGACTATAAATAAACAACATGAAATGTAAAGATCATTATTTTTATTAAGAGAAGACACAGACTTAATTCCTGGGAATAATGACATCTACTGTTTCCGCAGACTTTAGTTCTCATTTTTTCATTCAAGCCACAGAATAGCATTTCTTACTTTCTTCAACTTTTTACAGTATGAACTTTCATACCACTTCTTTCGGAGAAAATTGCAAAACCCAGACACGTATGTTTAGGAGAAAGGTCAGATTTTCTAAAACAATAAAATTGCCCAGACTGCTATTTTTGAACTGTGCAACTACATGCATTCTTACAGAGCAGGAAAGTAAACATACACATGACTGCATTAATTAAGACAATGCTTAATTTCCTGCAACCCAAAGGAATTTTGTGATTTAGGCTAAGTCTTTAACGATGCAATCTTCCATTGTGCGTATGTGGGTGTGCAAAGCAGCAACTGCAATTTCACAAAAAGGCAAGGGCTGGTCCTGACCTGGTGGGTGAATGGGGAAGGAATTAAATAATCCTCTAAACCAAAGCCAGAATCAACTTTCTGAGCACCAGACTCAGTCACTCCAGCCTTCTCACTTTCCATAATACAGTCCTAAATGACCTGAGCAGAAGCCTGATTCACGTGCTTTTTTTTCCTGGGGATTGTCTTGTTGAGTATCTTGGGCAGGAAACTGGCCTGATCTGTTGACTTACAAGATTTAAAATAAGCACTCACGTTTCCCCCTCCCAAGCCTGACCAGAGGCACTGGGCTGAATCACTTCCCCGGTGGAGGCAAGAAACGTATGAGAGCAAAGTGCTCGTGAAGTGGCCGAGCGATCGGGAAAAGCTCTCGGGCTGACATACAGTTAGCAAAAACCGCGACAGACCCTGGGGAAACATCAGGGCACGGCATCGATCCCCATCCCTCAGGCTTTACCTGCTGGTGGGCGAACGGCTGGGGGGGATGTCCTGCACAAAGCTCTGCTCCATGCCCGGGATCCTGGCCGGGCTGTGGGGATGGTAAGCTGTCAGGACCACGCTGCCCGAGTCCTTCATCTCCATGGTCATAGGCACATGTCGTCCCCGCTGCCTGTGACAAAGGCGACCGGGGGGTGCCGACGGCCCCGACGGGCGGGCGAGGGGTCCTGTCACGAGCACGAGTGCATGGCCTGGCTCCGTAGCAGCCTCTTGCCACCGTTGGCTGTCAGGAGAGCTGTGTAACTGAGACACGGCTCCTCTCCCCGTCAGGAAAGCTGAATTAGCATATATTCAAAAACACCGCCCACAAAACAACCGACGGGGAAGTTACTACGCTCCTAGGAAACTAGAAACCTGAGATAATCCTGCATGGCACTGAGCGACCGCCGGGAAAACTTCTGGCTTTCTTTCTTTTTGTTTCTTTTTAAGAGTCAATTTCTTAATACTCCTCCTGCTCCTGAAATAGGCTCAACTAAGTGAAATTATTTGCTGGTTAAGCAGCAAGATGAGTGGAGAGCACTACTCAAACACAAAACGTGGTTTGGCAGAGCAGGGAGTGACATTTAAGCTGCTTACACGAGAGATTCAGAAACCGAGTAGGCTCTGCTCTGTTTAAATAATCAAGAATTTAAATAAATTATTATTTAAATAATGCCGGATCATTGCTGTGGCAGGGAACTGCACTTGCTTTCTCCTGACAACAGATTAAGCTTTTGTTTTGCCTGATAGGGCTGTGTACATAATGAGAAAGGCACTGGGAAACACGTGAATTATTTTTACAACAGTATGCATTCATCTGGAGCAATCCCATAAATAAATACACTCCGAGGCGCTTGATATTTTTTCATGCTTGCGCTTGATCTTTGTATGCTAATTGAATGTTTTTCTCTCAAAAGGAAACCAGCAAGCAAAAATATTGGGGTCCAACTCTGGAGTAACACCCAGAGAAAACTCTGTAGACAAAATGAGAAAACTCTCACAGCCCTTTATTTTCCTCTCCCACTTCTTCAGTGTTTGGGGTTTTTTTGAAAAAAAATGTTTCTGATAAATGCCTATTCCTGAAAACTATCATCCTGCCTATGAAATGATGGGAAGGATGTCCCCAATTTTACTCTAAGAGCCACAGCTCTCCGAGCGCCTTGTGAGCAGGTGGGTGAAATTCCAGCCTCTGTGCACCTTTGTCAGAGCTGCGGGCGGTGTCCCCAGCACAGGTACTGTGCAAAATGCCCGTCAGGCTCCTCTTTCGCATCCCCCTTGAATGAAGGTGCTCTCGTTAGCACTGTTATAGGGCTGCCTAAATTACACTGTCGGTCTCTCCAGCTGGCAAAGCAGCTCAGGTTTCGAAGGGTACAAAAATGATTCATCTCATCTCCACCTTCCCCCTGTGCTCTATCTCCTGCCTGGATGGGCAGGACTGTTTCAGTCAAATATGTTGCTGCGACTCACGTAGGCAGTGCCCAAGTTAATTTTAAATTAGCCAGCACAGGACACTGATAATGGTACACTTGGCAGCACTTCTTGCCCGACTCACCCAGGAAGCATAAATATTTGAACATGCAGAGACTCTAGGTTTGCTCTTGCTATGCTGTTTACATGTCCTGGATTAAATATTTTAAAGCCAGGTTGCACAGGATAAAATCATGGTTACTTCCATAGCAGCATGGAGGCCCTCTGGGAGCCACCGTGCAGCCATGTACATATGTTAGAAATGAAGGAGAAGGCTCTAAGCTAACTCTGGAAGCATTGCCTACTGCCCACAGCATCAGGACTATATCCCACGGTGCCTCCAGTGAGGACCAGGGTGAATGCAATAACCAGTGAAGACCTCATTGTGCTCTGTGATTACTGGGTTATTCAGGAGAGGGATAGGGTCTGAAAAATTAGGGTAGATGCCATCACAGATCTCATACCCCAACTCTGTGGAGCACTGACTGAATGCCAGGTTGATGCCCGGCTCCTGGATGACCAGGGATGCTGCTGCCAATGTAATTTTTTTCCCTTCCTACCCTGGCTTTATATTCCCCTTCCTGGACCAGGAGATGGGTACCCCACTTCTCTGATGAGGGGGAGTAAATTATAAATATAAATTTATATTTGGCACAAGTGCAAATAGATATTTTGAAAATTAATCAGTCAAAATACACATATCAAACTGAGAGATAAAAATTTATGAAAATAAATTATAAAATATCTGCTGACGCCCTTTAAAGGCATTCTCCACAATTTATTTCAAGAAACTAAACATGTGAAGAAACACACATCATGGAAGGCACCCAACAGCATCAGAAATGGAGTGAAATGGAGTAGGCGTCCTTTAGGAGATCAGGCTGCAGACAAAGTATTGGCTGCAACTCCAGGAAAGTCTTTTTTTCTCCCCTTCCTAGTGTCATAGCACTAGGCTTTCTCGAGTACCATCAGACAACAAAACGATGGTTATGCACTTTAGGCTATGGGTAGGTAAAGCCCACAGTAGAAATACCATGTATTTTCAGTATTATTTTTATTTCTTCTCTTCCCATAATAAAAAAAAATCAAACACCAATATGACTTAGAAAAGAATACAGTTACCCTCTCAATAGTAAAATGCCTATAAAGAAAAGAGGCCCACACTTATTAAATGGGATTTTCTCTCTAAGAAAAATAAACATGGAAGATTTTATTTGGAGATTTATAAAGTGCTGGTGCATAAACTGGAGGCTTGTATGGAAATGGCAGTCTGTTTGGCATAAGTACAAATAGATATTTTGAAAATTAATCAGCCAAAATACATCTATCAAACTGAGAGCTAAAAATGTTTATATGTGTAATGGCTTTTGGGGTTAGACATCTGCGTATTAGTGAAAACTAAAAATGATGTTAAATCAACCAGAAATACACATCAGCCATTAAACAAAGTTTTAACTGGTCTAATAATACAGCCACAAGAAAAGTGTACAAGGCAACGTGGGCCAGATTCTTCCTTCAGTTCTATCTGTGCAATTCCATTAGTTAAAGGAGAATTTATTCTCCTGGTTTCTAAAGAAGCAAGTAGGAAAATATTTTAATCCAACATGCTGTGTTTCTACAGGATACCCTTCAATACTAGATCTTGGAGTACTTGGGACTATGACACTTCCAATTGTTTTTTCAGGTAGTTAATAGCTCCGTAGACCTTTCAAATACACTGGAAACACCAGTTTGGTGAGAAATAATATCGTGAGGATATTTTTGGTGGCAACCAGTAAAGTGAAGTTACAGCAAGAGAAGAATCTGTGGGCAGTCTGTAGCCAGTGAATCCGTGAGTAGCTCCCTTGGGTTTGGTAGGCAAGGACCTTGTGCTTTCGAATTTTACGTTGTGCTTGTGCCAAAGGGAGTGCTTTGCACTTTCACAAATTTGGCAAAAGAGTTGTTTATGTATGGATCAGTGGACCCAGACTTGGAGAATGAGGAATGAAAAACCTTTATTAACCTATTGTTTCAGAAACCTAAGTCAGTGGCTATATGGTTGTATGATGAAGCCTTCAGCTCTCCTATTCTTCTGAAGACTACCTGTGATAGCCATATACAAGAAGTATAACCACACAGCAAAGTCACTAGTTAATGCTTGCTGAGATGATGTTGTTGCTAATAATATTAATATATATTTGCATAATATTATTTAGTAATCATTGTGGCACTAACATGATGGGCAACATTTGTATGGCAAATTTAATGTCTATTGCTTAGAAAGGAACTAATAAATTTTTCACATAGATTTTAAACAGCCCTTTCTGGTTAAGTCCAAGGGGGCTGTCACTGAAAGGAATGGGATTTGTCAGCTAGGGGTTCTAGGTGGGGGGGGCTGGTGAAGGGCCTGGAGAACAAGTCTTATGAGGAGCGGCTGAGGGAACTGGGGCTGTTTAGCCTGGAGAAGAGGAGGCTGAGGGGAGACCTCATCGCGCTCTACAACTACCTGAAAGAAGGTTGTAGCGAGGTGGGGGTTGGTCTCTTCTCCCAAGTAACAAGCGATAGGACGAGAGGAAATGGCCTCAAGTTGCGCCAGGGGAGGTTTAGACTGGACATTAGGAAAAACTTCTTTACTGAAAGAGTGGTCAGGCCTTGGAACAGGCTGCCCAGGGAAGTGGTGGAGTCACCATCCCTGGAAGTATTTAGAAGACGTGTAGATGAGGCGCTTAGGGACATAGTTTAGTGGGCATGGTGGTGTTGGGTTAACGGTTGGACTTGATGATCTTAGAGGTCTTTTCCAACCTTAATGATTCTATGATTCTATGATTATATCATAAAAGTAGACCCACAGAGCCCTGGAAAGTGAAAATTCCCCTTTGAACTACAAATCACACAAAAATCTCTGGGTATTGAATTTCATTTCTTGCTTCCAGCTTAAATTAGCCAGCACAAAGTTGGATAGAATTTGCAAAACTTTGAAGTTAATTTTGGACTAGTTTAATGTGAACTTGGGTTAGATTAAGTTTTAAAAGGAAGCCGTGTAAAACACAGCATTTTTCACTGATTAAATCAAAAGAAATACAGTAGAGCAAAACACAGAAAAATGTCATCCTAGCACTGTGCCTAAATTTCCTCATCCTTCTTTTTCAGGCAATAGTATGCAATAAATTTTGTATCTATCTGTGTGAAAGAAACCAAAGCCAGAACCACTGTATTTTTCCATGTTTTGGGGAAAAAAAAGGGTATCTCTTACTTGTCTTTAATTTAACATTTGGATTGAAAGATGCTTGAGGGGTGGGGGGCAGAAGGACTCACCACACCAAAGAGTTGGTGAGGGCAAAAAGCACCTGGACACTGAAAACAAGGAGTGCCACAAAGTCGCATGAAAGTCAACGACAGTGGTGCGTGAGTCTTCTGCTGCTCAGTACCATGAAAAAAGGCTCTGAGGAGGGGCTGACTCTTGTGTCAGGAAAATTTTCACTGTGGCTTGAGGTCTATTTCCTTTAAAAGAATTTTATGCATTATGAAGGATAGCTTCTAATGCTTGATTTAGCCTCTGTGCTTTCTATTCCTGTGATGCCGCAAGGATTACAGTCTTTTTTTTCCACTATAAAGGTGAGGTGTTTGTATGCCTCTGTGTGGGCAGCTGGGAATGTGAGTGAATGGGTGAGATTCATCAGTAGTGCCAAAATACACCCAC